GTCAAAGACATCTTCCGTCAATTGGAAACGCGCGTTTGGGAAAAATCAGAATCCCTTACGCATTACGTTCTGAGCATGCAAGAGCTTGCTCAGTCAGCACCAATCGAAGAATACGAATTTTTGGAATTCATTATTGACGGGCTAAAAGACAAGTCGGCCAAAGCACTGATTTTTAGCGGAGTGACGACGATCGAAAAATTTAAAAAGTTGATACCACAATACGAAAGGCTCCGGGCAGCAACCGAGAAGAAAGTGAGCGCACCAAACTCCATTGGTGACATGTCAGCAGTAAGATGCTACAACTGTTCGCGCTATGGGCACTACTCCAAGGACTGCGCAGAGAAAAGGCGAGCACCCGGGTCTTGTTTTAAGTGTGGAGCGAAGGAGCACCAGTATAGGACTGCCCCGTCAAGACTGTAGCAGCATTGGACGACGACGGCGACTTTAGTTCTGTACACTTTAAGGAAAGGGTAAGTGTTTCTTTCAGTGGAAACCGTGATTGACTTCCTGATTTTGTCAATTTTTTTTCTTTGCTTGACACCGGTAGCCCCTGTAGTTTCATCCGACAGTCGTGCATCCCAGGTACAGCAAAATACAGTAGAAGTGTGCGTGTATTTAGTGGGATCGGGAGAGTTAAAGTGAATCCGGAAGGGAGCGTATTTGTTCTTATTAAATTTAAGAACATTGTTTAACCGTTAAGAGTTTACGTACTTACCGATAACGAAATGCCTTTTCCACTATTGTTAGGAAGAGACTTCTTAAATACTTTTTCCATACGTTTGTACGTCAACAATGAATTGCTCTACTCAAATAAACAGACTACATATCAACTAGAAAACGAATTTCCGCTTATTTCTGTTGATGATAGCGACAGTAAACGTAAGTCCAGTAAAGCCACTCCAATCTTAAGAAGAGCCAGTGTAATGCCGGAACTTAAAGACGTTTTTAATATTGAAATTAGTGAAAATGATGAGATTTATGTAAACCCTCAGATATCTTCAGCGTGGTCAAACAACTTCCGTCTTATGAAAAATAACACTTATGTACGAAAACAGATTGAAGAACCTCCGAATATTGATTACGAAGCTAAGATCTTACTTACGTCAAACAACTCGACCTTCTGTTCACTAAGGCGTTTATCGTTTGCCGAGAAAATTGAAGTCAATCGAATCATAGACGACTTGCTTAAGAAAAAGATTATCC